TGCCGTCAGAGGGCCGAGGAGGCTGAGGTCTGGTCCTCTGTGAGTTCTGTTTCCATGGGATTGAACCAGCACATGCCACACATCTGTAGTGATGCCTCGGTTCATGAACACCTTCATTTGCAAACAGTTTGGCTCACACACAGAAGTATTTGGCAGAATTTTGTTTTTGTTTGCAAACTCAGCATCGGGGTGACAAACATGACCACAGCCATCTTTCCTGGACAGACACAGACGTGGCCCTCTTTTCCAGAATCATGGAATGAATTGAGTTCAAGAACTGAGCAACCACTGTAGTTTCTTACACTATCAGAAATCTCTAGGTACGTGCCCCTGTCCAGCCGCCGAGGAGACCCTGCGCACTGCTGCCAACACCCCGGCAGAGAAGCTGAGGCAGAGAAGCTGAGGTCAACGCCAAATCTGAAATATTTAAACTATTTCCACAGTGCAGACAATTAAGTGCGTTGCTGTGGGTGATGGTGCTGTTGGTAAAACATGTCTCCTGATCGCTTTTACAACAAACAAATTTCCATCTGGATATTTGCCAACCGTTTTTGACAACTATGCAGTCACAGTTATGATTGGTGGAGAACCATATACTCTTGGGCTCTTTGATACTGCAGGACAAGAGGATTATGACAGACTACGACCATTGAGTTATTCACAAACATGTATTTCTGGTCTGTTTTTCAGTGGTCTCCATCCTCATTTGAAAACGTGAAAGAAGAGTGGGTGCCTGAGATAACTCACCGCTGGCCAAAGACTCCCTTCTTGCTTGTTGGGACCCAAATTGGTCCCAGAGATGACCCCTCTACTATTGAGAAACTTGCCAAGGACAAACAAACCTATCACTCCAGAGACTGCTGAAAAGCTGGCCCGAGATCTGAAGGCTGTCAAGTATGTGGAGTGTTCTGCACTCACACGGAAAGGCCTGAAGAATGTGTTTGATGAAGCAATATTGGCTGCCCTGGAACCTCCAGAACCGAAGAAGAGCCGCAGGTGTGTGCTGCTATGAACATCTCTCCAGATCCCTTTGCACAGCTGGTGTCGGCATCATACTAAAAGCAATGTTTAAATCAAACTAAAGATTAAAAATTAAAATTCGTTTCTGCAATAATGACAAGTGCCCTTCACCTACCCACATGCACTCATGTGAGACAAGGCCGATAGGTATGGCCCCCACCCCTCCCAGTACTAGTTAATTTTGAGTAATTGTGATTGTCAGGAAAGTGATCAGTACTAATTTTTGTTTTGTTGTTTCAAAAAAACTTTTTTTGTTGTTTTTTAAAAAGTAAGGCATGCTTGTGGTGACTGTAACAGACTAATTTGAATTGGTGAAGCTGCTCCCTGGTTCCACTTGAGAGTAATCTGGGACATCTTAGGGTTTTTTTCCCCTTCTTTTTTGGGGGGAATGTGTGGTGGGTTTGTTTTTTAGTCTTGTTTTTTTAATTCATTAAGTAGTGGAAAGCCCTTAGGGGAGGAGGATGGATTGATTCCACAATCCACTTCCTAGATCTAGTTTAGAAAAACGTGTTCCCTACCTGGTGCTCTTAGGAAGGAGTATAGTAAATGCCTCATTTAATA